AAATGGGGGGGAAGCCCTTCAGGCAGTGGAATGCTGCTGATCGGCGAGCAGCACACGGGCAGGAAGGGCTGTAGTGGCTAAGCCTGGACTCAGAGAGCCTGCTGCCAAATAAATGCTGGCTGAGTAAGGCTTCTCACCGGAGCTGCACCTGCCAAACTGTGTGTGTGTGTCTTTCTCCTCATCCTCGTTGCAGGAATTCAACCTTATTGATAGAAGAGAACTTGCACCACTCCAAGAACTGATTGAAAAACTCACCTCGAAGGACAGATAAAAGGAAGAGGACTTCTTGAAGTCACTTGTTTCTTTAAGCAAGCGTGTGGTATTTGTTTTTTTTTTTGTTCATTTGGGTTTTTTTAAAAAGCGAAAACAAAACCAACCCCCTGTGCTGTTACCAGTGACAGCCAAGATCTACTTTCTGTGCTTTTACTAGGGGAAATCTTTTCTCTGTTAGTGACACGTGGGAAATAGCTTTTTTTTTTAAATTTTATTTTATTGTTACTCATTGTGGAATTTCTAGCAGGTGCTGAGTGTCTATAAAGGAAACGTGCTTGGTTGGGGGATTGACTCTGCTGGTGGATGGGTTCTTGTGTTGTGTCAGTGGTAGCCCATTCTCATGAAGTCCCTAAAAGACTTGCTTACATTCTCTAAGTGCCTTGGCAGACTCACTTCTGAGGTGCAAAGCACATACAATACTGAACATTGCTGGAAACAGAAAATATGTACTAACACCCAGACACTTACTGATACTTGTTCTAGAAAAATATATATATGCTTACACTAAAAAAAAAAGAAAAGCCATAACTTGCTGAATCAATGATCTCCAGCTTTTAATACAAATACTTGTCTTATTTTTTTAGAGATGAATATAGAAATTTTTCAAAACTAGGTAATTTCTTACAAAGAGAAGTGAAGTTCCAGTCGCTGCAGCGAAACGGCCAAGGCGGTGTCAAAAATCACACAGACCTCGTGCTGAGCAAGTGCTTCCACATCTGTTGCCATGGAACTTCTCACGGTTGCTTTTATTTTTTTTTTTAGCAGGGAAGCACCAGTTGGGTCACTCAGCTTTGTTAAGTTCCCGAGCAGTTGCCAAAGGAACATTTTTAGTTCGCACAAGCACACTTAGGGGAAAACATCCATCGTAAAAAGTTGCACTGGGGTTATACTAAGGAAAACCTGGATGGAAAAATGGCTAGTGGAAAGGTGTTTTTAAGCTAGGAGTACAATGCTCCGTGGAAGAGCCAGTGTTTGCTGCGGTGGGAAATCTGGCTCGGAGGGAAGATCAGTTCATGGAGCACTTTGGGGTTATGTTAGCATGAAATCCCTGATGAGGTATTTCAGAAGAAAAATGTATAGAAGTGAAGCTTTGCTTGGAGGTACCAGTGCAGTAATTCACATTTTTGGCATACTCCTGCCCTGGGAGGGTTTTGTTCTTGTTGTTGTCGCAATTTTTTGCTTTTGAATAGCCACTTCTACAAATCCAGAGGCATCTGCTGCAGTTCAGCCAATCAGAATTGGAATGTACTAAGTAAAAAAAAAAAAAGAATCTTCGGTGGATAGTGTATTTTTTGTATTTAATATCTGGCAGTAGAGAGACTTTGACTAGTTTCTAGGCACGTAATAAAAGCTTGGAGATCATGATTTGCCTGACAGCTGTATGAACACATTGTTTAATTACACAACACTTGAAAATAACACCATTGAAGGTATGTGTGCAGTGGTGGGGATTTAGTATCCCCGTGCTGTTTCTATTTGCAGCTTTTCATTGTTTGGTTTTTTTTTGGCTTGTAAAAGCTGTGGGACCAGAAGTTGAGGTGTGTTTACACTCTCGAAGTCAGGGCACATGGAAATGCCACACAAAATGGAATCTGGATCAGTGAATGTGTTTATAAAATAGTGCATTTATGGGGGGGGAAGGGGAGGACAACCCCTTACCTCCCAAACAAACCCCAGAGAAACAAACCCCGACGGACTCCGAGGGGCCCAAACTTCCAGCTTTGTAGTCCCTGGGAGCAGGAAGTGCCGGTGGGGTCAAACCAGGCTGTGCTGCCAGCCCTGCCTCGGGGCCTTCCAGTGTGACAGGGTCAGAAATCCCATGGTTTGGGGTGGTTTGCAGCTCTGCTGGACCTCGCGAGGGATTCGGGTGGTGCCTTGAGGAGAGGGCACCTGTGTCGAGCTGGGAAGGGGCGGACGGCGGAGTCCTTGGAGCTCGGCCACCCCGGCAGTGCTGACAGTGCTCAGGTGATGGATCCGGGATGCTTTGTCCGAGTCTTTCGAGTCAGGGATAACAAGGTAACCATGCAAAGAGGAAACGAACCCACTGTCTTGTGCTGGTGCGGGGAGCTGAGGGGAGAGAACAGGTTCCGAGGCCTGTCTGCAAGTATCCAGTTTCTTTTCCTGCTTACTATGCAATGTAGAGCTTTGAACTTCTGCTTTTCCTTGGAGATACTGAGGAGCACTGTCCTTACTTAGTCCTTAGGACCTGAACCCTGTCCCCGTGTCCCTGGCCCTCAGTTAACAGGTAAGGACACCTATTTGCTGCTATGGACTCGACTCACCTTTCAGATTGTTCCTTTCTGTTTCCTGCCCCTGCCCCCTTTCTCCTGGATCACCAGACACAGTTTTACTACCAACGCCTCCTTTTGGGATAGTTGTTTTTTCCTTGCTGCCCTCTCCCCCCCTGCCTGCCTGCCAGAGTGCAGTTACTGTACATATCCCCCTTTTTAGTTGGATTATTTAAGAAGCTGCAGCACAAACAGGGATTCCTTGCTTTTTTTTTTCCCACTAAAATATTCCCTTTTACGCCGAGTCTCATTTCCTTCACTGCTGATAGCGGTTGTCTCTTTTCCAACCTGCACTCCTAAAACCACTGGCAGTTTCATGGATGCCTGTTGTCTTTCCCTGGATATCTTTTCTTTTAACATGAGACTAACATTGGTGATTTTCAGTGTTAAACTTTCTTATTTCCCTGCTTTTCTTACAGTTTCCCCTTGCCAGGTTCAGTTTGCAGCCTATAGGAAAAGATCCAATTAAGTTTGTTGGGTGTTTTTTTTTGTTTTGTTTCGTTTTGTTGTTGGAAGAACCAATTCCCTAAATCGTTCATAGAGTAATGTATTTTTAGGGGAGATTAATTTTTTATAGCCACTAAACTATACTCATTATTTTTGTACGTTTGCAACTTGGGACGTTTTTCCGAGCCGTGTCGCAGAGGGAACACTTATTTTCATGGCTGTTTGACTACTTGGGAATGCTGTGGTTGTGTTGCGTAGAGGCACATCACCTCGATGTGCAGTGGAAGAGAGAGAAGGATGCAATAAAAATGAATGAGGTTTCAATAAAAAGCCATTTCTGAAAGCAAAGAAAAAAAAAATAGTATATTCCGAAAGCGACACTCACCTTTCCTCCTTTAGGATCCTAAAATATATGGGAGAAAATACAGTGTAAAGTAAAAATGCGAGGAGAGAACCCTTACTGTGAGCTAACTGTGCCAATACCGCTTCAGTTTGTAGCCACTGATGGAGACTTTAGTTTTAAAGGAAAACAGCTTTTGATTAAAAAAAAAAAGAAAAAAAAAAAAGGAGCTGAATGTCTGAAAATCCGCACCGTGTTTATTTGAGAGTTGTAAATAATGTATACAGATGGTTGTATGTGATGGGACAAAATATTTAAATCCTAGGGTTTGTTGGTTTTTTTTTTTTTCAATAAGAAACCGAAGGCTGTTTATAAGAGAAAATAAATAGCTATGTTTGACCATGACTGTCTTTATTTCCTTCTTGGACTTGTTTGTAAAGGATCTCCTGCTGGCAAATAGATTTATTTTTTTTTTCCCGCCTGTGTATTGTGAACATCTGCCCGTGACACGCCCGAGGATGTCACCAGGTAACCAGTGTCACACGTGGTGCAGACTCTGCCCTTGGCCCTGCCTAGGTGCCTTGTTTTTGGTTTCTTTTTGGCTCTTCTTTCTCCTCCAAGCCTCCCGTGACCCCAGCACCTGCAGGGCTCCAGATTTCCCACCTCCCATCCGCACCCGCTTCTGTCCCGCGGTAAGTCCCCTCTCACGGGTGCTTTGTGGAACGGTGGTGGAAACATCTGGATTTGGCCACAATTTTTCAGCGCAGATCTTGGGTCAAGGCTGCCTTGCTGCCCGTTCCCAGTCCATAGATCTGAGGGGTTTGCCCTCTTTAACTGCATCCTCCAAGAATCAGAGGGGTCCTGTAGTGGGAGGGTGTTTTGGGAAACGTGTGGTTTTGGTGGCTGTTTGGGGGATTTTTAGGGCTTTTGTAGAATCTTAGAATTCCAGAATTGTTTGGGTTGGAAGGGACCTTAAAGATCATCCAGTTCCAGCTCCCTGCCATAGACGGGGACACCTCCCACTATCCCATGGTGTTCACATCCCCACCCAGCCTGGCCTTGGACACTTGCAGGGATGGGGCAGCCACAGCTTCTCTGGGCAACCTGTGCCAGGGCCTCCCCACCCTCACAGGGAAGGGTTTCTTCCTAAAGTAAAGAATCCATTTCTAAAGTAAAGAATTCCTCCCTAAACTCAAGACCTCTTACCTAAACTGAAGAATTTCTACCTAGTTGTTTTCAGCAATAGCCCTCTCAATTCAGGTGCCGGTGCTGTCCCTTTCAAAATCCAGCCATTTCTAAGGTATTCCTGGAAGATTTTTAACACAGGCGGTGGCCTGGCTTTGAGGAAGGGAGGGTGGGGGGGGGATCCTTTTCCTCCCTTCCGCCTTCCCTTTTCCCTGTGTGTCGGGACGAAGGGAGCCGCTGAGAACGGGAGCAGCTCGTGACAGGAGCCATCGACGCGCTCCGCGTGCCGCTGCTCTTGCCTGGCTGGGTGGGTGGGGCCGGGCGGACGAGCGGGCGGGGTCGGACGCGGCGCGCGCGCGCGTGTGACGTCACCGGCCGCCGCGGCGGGCCCGCCGCTGCCGCGCGCCAAATTCAAAGGCGGGCGCGTGGCGGTCTCGTGCCTCCCCTCCGCCCCCGCCCCCGCCTCGCGCCCCCTCAGGCGGGTCTCGCGCCCCTCCCCTCAGGTGCCCCCGCGCCCCGCCCGGGCCGCCATGGCAGCCCCGCCCAAGCGCGGGCGGCACGGCAGCCGCGTCAAGAAGGTCGCCGTGGAGGGCAACATCGGTGAGTCGGGGCCCGCACCGCCTTCGCGGGCAGCGGGGCACCTTCGGGGGCCGGGAGGGAGGGGGAAGAGGTGGCTCTCGTGGGGCTCGGACGTGGTTGGCACAGCTCCGCCGACCCCGCGCTCGCCTCTCCCTCACCCCCCTCTTTTCTGCCGGGGCTTTTCCCGCCCTGGCGGAGTGGGGCAGCGGGGATGCGTCCACAGGGGTTTCCTGGCCGTTTCCCCTCAAAAAAACCCCCGCTTTTAGTCAGGTCAGGAGGCACAAACAAGCCAATTCATAAAGTCGGAGACTTTACCGCGACGCCGTAAAAATACTACGAAACTGACGCAATTCGCGGTTTGGGTTTTTTTTGTTGAATGAGTTTGTAACTCATTCACGTATTCGGCGTTGACATTTTTTTTTTCCCCGCGCTTTTCCTGCTTGTGGAGTAAAACTCCCAGAGCCCCAGAATCTCCCGAGCTGGAAGGGTCCCACAAGGCTCACCATGTCCTGGCCCTGGGCAGGACACCCCCAAAATCCCACCAGATGCCTGAGGGCATTGTCCAAACCCTTGTAGATGCAGACAGAGAACAACCCTGTTGCTCCATTAACTGATGATCTGTGGAACACGATGGGCTCTGCTTCAAGTCCAAAGTTCTCGGCCGTGGGAGATTGATTTGTGGGGATGGAAAATGGAGTTGTGCAGTGGTCAAATAACACCACTGCGGGTGGTTTCTCACTGACAATCTTCCTGAATGCTTTTCCTACAGCTGCCGGGAAATCCACCTTTGTGAATATTCTGAAACAAGCCAGTGAGGAGTGGGAAGTGGTTCCCGAGCCCATAGCTAGATGGTGCAATGTCCAGCAAAACCCTGGAGATGATTGTGAGGTAAAAGAGGAAAAAAAACCCAGTCAAACGTTCCTCTAATTTCAGAAGACCTGTATATCCAATCAACAGTCAGGTGTTTTTGTGATAGCAACGCTTCTGCTGATTCCTTTCCCAGTGTTTGAGTTCCTCTTTTCTGGTTTGTTTGGTGTATTGTGGAATAAATGTTATTCAACATCAGGATGTAAGTTCTAAAAGCGGTAAAGGCCTTTTTCCTGTATCAAAGCAAGGGAGGGGAAAAAATGAGGTAAAGTTACTTGTAGCAACTGTGAACTATCCAGGTGAGTGCAGAGGGTTGTTCCTGGTGTTGGAAGGTGTCCTCTGAAATGTCTAGGAAATAATGAACCACTGCTAAATGGTTTATAGTGGTGTTTTTTTCTCCCAGCTACCTGCAATTCCATTAGCAGTCCAGCTGCTGCCTGATGGCCACAGTCTGCTGTGCAAGTGGCTTTTGAGGGGCTTTCTTTTGTTTTGGCAAAAATACACTGTGTTTTGGTAAAATCAGTGTAAACTTAATGGGGATGTGTTGCTCCTGACTTCTCCTCAGCTGCATTTTCTCAGACAGTTCATTTTCTGGTTATTTCCCCTCTGAATGCAGGAGCTGACCACGTCCCAGCAGAGTGGTGGGAACGTGCTGCGGATGATGTACGAGAAGCCGGATAGGTGGGCTTTCACCTTCCAGACGTACGCGTGTCTCAGCAGGATCCGGGCTCAGCTCAGCGCCCTCGAGGGCAAACTCCAGGACACGGAGAATCCTGTGGTCTTCTTCGAGCGGTCTGTCTACAGCGACAGGTGTGTGGGGCCCAAGTCCTCGGGGGGGGAAGATCGCAATTCTCCCAAGTAAAATCACAGGATAGTTGGGGTGGAAACGTGTCCGGGTGGGCTTGGAATGTCTCCAGAGAGGGAGACAGAATCACAGAATCAATTAAGTTGGAAAAGACCTCTGAGGTTATCAAGTCCAGCCTGTGACCCAACACCACTTTGTCAACTGGAGCATGGCACTGAGTGCCACGTCCAGTCTTTCCCTAAACACCTCCAGGGACAGTGACTGCACGCCCTCTCTGGGCAGCCTGTTTCAGTGCTCTGCCACCCTCCATGGAAAGAAGTTCTTCCTCATCTTTTAGTTTATGGCCAATAAAAAAATAAATACACAAATAAATGCCCGATACTTCATTTCTGGGTTCAGAAGGTGGGATTTGATAACTGAATTGCATCCCATAGTCCTTAGGAGTTCCCTGTGTTCTAAGATACTGACAATAAAGGATGCAGTGTACAAACCTGTTGTTTCACGGGTTATTCCTGGACACCTGAGCTGCTTATGTTCCTGGTCTCTGTGGACACAGTTACAGGAGAAGGATACGACCTGTTTAATTCCACTCCAAGTGTACATCAGAAATGCTACAGATTTACTACTCAGCTTTTTGTCTAGTTATTTCAGGCAAACCCAGGATTCCTGTGTCCGAGCCAGTTTGTGTTTCCATCGCTGTTTTGTGTCCACAGGTACATCTTTGCAGCTAATTTATATGAGACTGATTGCATGAACGAGACCGAGTGGACTATTTACCAAGACTGGCATGACTGGATGAATAAGCAGTTTGGTTCAAGGCTGGCGCTGGATGGGATCATTTATCTCAGAGCCACTCCTGAGGTGAGGGACACAAATGTGAGACTGCACAGAGAATGAGAGTCCGTGTTCTGTGCCTTGCCCCTCAAGGTTAGAGTCCAGCTCCGGCTGCAGTGCTCCCCTGAACACTGTAATATTTGAACTGTGACTAAGACAGTCTGGAATTGAAAAAAAAAGCTCTTTCAAGCACAACCCGTGCATTTGAAAATCAGCTGTGATGATAATGATTCTTTACTTGTTAAAAAAGAACACATGACAACAGCAAACCAGAAAATACCACTGGAACAAACCAAGCAACCCTGGGAAAGTACAGAAATAGCCCTAGGAATAGCTATTATACAGGGAGTATAGCTATACAGGGAAAAGACAACAATTTATAGTAATGTCACAGCTGGTTTGGAGTGTGGGCTATGAAGCCCTTACACCTGGGCCACTGGAGCTAAGCCATGTGGCAGCACCTGCTGTGTGTGAGGCTTTATGACTCGTGCTTTGATCTTTGGGCATCTGGAGTTTGTTTAAAAGGAGAGAATGGCATCATGAATATCTGTCTTGAGTATGAAACCTGCATCAACGGGAGAAAACGTGAGTTTAGAAGAGCTCTAATTAACCTGCAGATTACATCCATAATCCCTTGCTTCCAGTTTCTTTATGGTTGTAAACACTCCGCAATTTACCACACTGAAGTGACTCTGAGGGCTTTTTTGTTTTTCTATTTAAGAAAAGAACACATATTTAAATTACAAAGTACAATACTTAAACAGTTTTGGCTTCTTGTTGATGCTTTGGATGTGCTCAGGGTGGGAACAAATGATTTACTGCACTGGAAAACAGTTCCTTAGAGCCAGAAATATATGGTGAGAATTGGAAATGCCTGTCTGTAGTGTCAAATGGATACTTCTGGGCTCTTGGCATGCAGTACACAAATGTACTTATTTTTATTATTTTTTGCCTTTAGAAATGCTTGAATAGGATTTTCTTGCGAGGAAGAGATGAGGAGCAAGAAATCCCCATTGAGTATCTGGAGAAGCTTCACTACAAACACGAAAGTTGGCTGCAGCATAGGACACTGCGGTAGGGTTTGTTGAATTGTTTCTTAAGGATGGATTTGTCTCTGTAAGGGTGTTCCATAATGCTTTTCCCACCAGTGAAACTCCAGCTTTTCTTACTATGTGTAAAGCTAAACTCCAGGAATGTTTCTATAGTATTTCTGTCAGTGCTAATATATCCCAGGAGCCATGCTGTAAATTCAGAACTCCTGGCTGTAATTTAGACGTGCAGTTCTTTTCGTGCGTTTCTCAGCAATGGAAATGCTGGCAGGGACTTGGATGCTGTCTGCTTTATTTTCAGCTACTAATATTTGCTTTGTTCCTCTCCCAATGCAGAACAGATTTCGACTATCTACAGGAAATTCCAGTTTTGACCCTAGATGTTAATGAAGACTTCAGAGGCAAAAAGGACAGATACAAACACATGATCGAAAAGGTAACATTTCACAAATGGTTGAGGTTGCTCTAAAATTACACTTCACTCTCCAATCCTCCTTCTAAAATATTAGAGTCACAGAGTTATATGCAGGTAAGGAACAGTCTTGTAGCCTGCTGCAAAGCTTATTTTAAATCCAGGACAAACCTTCAATTTAACTGCTCAGGTGTTTGGTATTTGAATCCCTGTGGGATTCCAGCGAGGACAACTTGCCTTTTGTCTGAGCAGTTGCAATGACTTACAGACCTCAGCAGTGGGACACGCACGTTCTTCCGCTCTGTGGAAATAAACTGTTACCTCACAAGCAAAGCAGCTTTGTCCTTTCATCTCTCTTGATCCACCCAGAAGTGGAACTGTTCACCTGATTAAAACCAGTCTGTCCGGTCGGGCTTGTTAATCGGTGGAATGATGGGACATGGCAGATGTGGGGGCACATGTTTCCCACCTGCACAAGATGAAATAAGGCTCGGGAGACTAAATACAGACTTTGGAGGAGTTTATTCTGGTGTAACTGTCAGGTTGTCTGGGAATAGCCTAAGCCCTGTATGGGCCCTTTTTTTGGCATTTCTGAAGTGGAGACCCAGAACCGCTGCGCTTGATGAGCTGTGCTTTGGGCTTTGGTGTGTGCTGATGTCCCACAGAAACCCTGAAACTCTGCCTGGTGTGTAAATCCAGACAAGGGTCTCCAAGTGGGATTGCTGGTGCCATTCTCTAAAGTGGAGGGTGGCTTTCTGGTGATTCCTTTCAAGTTGCAGTCTTGGCACAGTTATGTTTTCCCTTCTCCACAGGAAGGGATTTGACCTCTTTTTTTTTTTCCACACGTCCATGAGCCCTGACCTGGGAAGGGAAGGGGTCACAGTTGGAGAGTGTGGTCCAAGATCTGTTTCCATTTCTCATCAAGAATTTGGACAAAATGTTTACAGATGGGCTCTGTGTAGGAGAGTCTCTGCCAAAAGAGTAACACTATTCTCTAGTAACTGGTTGATTCCTTTCCGTGGAGTAGCCTGGCTGGAGTGGGCAGACAGGATAATGCCCCTAGTTTAGGCTGTATCACAGCCTAGTTGTTAGGATGCTCCTGACACTTCAAGGCAGCAGTTGTGAGCCTGGTATTGATCTGCAGTGTCGGGTTTTTTCCAAGCACTGTGGTTTTGGTAGGTATTACTTCATTATTTCTTTGCCAGCCTCATTCTAGGGAACATCCTGATTAGATGCCCTGAGTTGTTCATGGCATTAAATCCCAACGGTGTCCCAGCAGTGGGCGTGACTCGGTGGTTTCCAAATGACAGCTCTTTTGAGGCGGTCATTATCCTCCTTGTGTTGGGGTTACACCTGCCTTTAAAGTAACTCCTTTGTGACTGAGGGCTGCAGTTCAGCACCACAGGAGGAGTGAGCATCATTCCAGTGTGTACCACGTCTGGGAATGTTTTTGATGGACAGGTAATGGCACGGCCAAGCCCGAGATCTTTTCTCCCTGTTTCTTTAGGTTGTAGTAAAGCATAAAGCAGCGGAGAGGTAAACAGAGTTGCAGTCTATTTCTGTTGATAAACACTTAGTGTGATTGACAATATTTGTTTCTTTTTGCAGGTCAGAGAATTTTTGAGCACATTATAATCCTCTTTGAAGTGCAGACAGAGTCAAACCATTCCAAACATCTGTGCGATCAAAGTCTCAAGTGCAGCTTCTGCTTTTATAGGAGGCCTCTGGAGAGGCAGGACTCAATCCTGGTGATTTGACTGTGAGGAACAAATAAACCTTGTGAACAGGGAAATTACTAAATAAATCAGCACGTCTGTTCAGTATTGTGTTAGGTGACACGCACAAATTCTGAAGAGACAAGGATTCTGAGCATTCCCGAATATTGCACCAGTTTTTGATCAGACTGATGAGTTCTAGAGTATTTTATAGATTTTTTTTAAAACTGATTTTTTATCCAGTTGCTATTTAATTGTTGAGAAGGTAGTGGATTTTTAGATCTCTTCAGTGGTTTTTAGTGGCATTGACTTTTAATGGATGTCTTGTTCTGAGGAAGGAACAAGTGAGGACCATTTTTGCTGCTACGGGAATTTTAATGTAACCTGGAGTTTTATATTTTAAGGTACAAAAAAAATGCCATCTGATGATTTTGGTAGATGAAATTCTTCACAAGAACACATGAATTGAATGCAAATACAGCTGAAATTCTGTAGCTGTCAAATGAGATTTTATATTTGTTTTCAATATGCACTGCAAACTAGGATTTTCAGAGGCTTTCTGTTCTCCAGCATGTTTGTTTGTTGGGTTTTGTTACCCTTTTTTGAAGCTTTTAATCAAACTGAGCTGTTTTTGTTGTCGGTAAACCCTCTTCTCCTGGAGAGGAATATGTTTGCTTGCCGGGTACCCTAATAGGAAGAAGAACATTTTCCAAATGGCCTCCATCTGTGAATGATGTGTTTAGAAACCATCCCATGATCGCATTTGGGATGTCAGAGGTGGCTTCCTGCCTTTGTTCCAGCTGCTCCATGAGTTCCCTGGGCCTTCTGGGTGCTTATACCAGATGCTGCGCTATTTGAAGTAGGCTGTCACGTCTCAACTGCTGCGAGTCAGAAGGGGACACCTGTGTGGGGTGGCCGCTGCTCTGTGTTGTGCTGACTGAGCCTCTTGTTCCAGGTGCAGAAAATACAGACTTGTCAGGGTGCGCCTCTCAGGTGCTGGGTTTTGTGAGCTGCGTTGTTCTGCTTTAAACGATTCTGAGCGCACAGCTGGCTTTTGAAGGCAAAACTGTATATTGCAAAGCATTTTATTGCCTACCTTGGTGCCGCTGTTACCTGCTCGTCGGACATGGGATTTCTTCCTTCGTGGCTGGAATTGTGCTGGCATTCTCTAACCATTGGCTGAAAAATAAAAGTGGTTGGAAAGACTGTTTCAGTGCCTAATAGTGTTGGGTCTCTTGTCTTATGAAAGAAGTAATATTGTGGATTGGTGGTGTGTAATACTGGTACAATGGATGAACTGAAGGTTGTGGATTCTCGGTGAATTTGGTGTAAAAAGTTACCAAAGATTTCTGAGAAACTGTGACTGGCTTTAAATGTTTTTTCGTGTGTGGGAAAAGAACTTAAGGGATAGAGACACGGAATTACATAAAATGCATCATATGTGTAACAGTGCTCGGTACAATGTGTTGTATAATATTTGTGTTGTAGTGGAAAGTAGAAGGAGTCTGGCAGAAAATCTTGTGTGGGACTTAAAGGTTGCCCAGTGAAAGGAAAGATTTTAAGATCTTTGCTCCAGAAAGGAAGTGAGGTGGAATGGATGAAAATTCAGTTCAGATTTACTTGAAACACATAGTAGAAGCTTTTAAAACATTCTTGGCAAGAGTCTGAACAGTAACAACTTATTTGGACTAACAGTGCAATTATTCCTACAGTTTCAGCTGTCAAAATTGTAGATTTAATTACAGGAATTGGAATGACAGTGCTCGTTGCAAGGAAGTAAACATGTCTGAGTTCTAATAAAGGCTTCTTTTGAAACCCATCACAGAGAGCACACAGAAATTCTGTGGCAGGTTATCTGCAGCCTGTTCCAGAAAGCTTTACAAAATCTCTGCCTGCCAAGTTTGGGTTGGAAGGAGCGAAGTCATGACCAATTATTAGAATGTTTTTAATTGGTGTGCAGAGAAAAACAATGCCAAACCCCAAACACACACCCCACCGGCCCCCCGAGCTTCTGGGGGCTCTGGAAGTGGCTAGGCTGGAGCACATGGAGCTGTATGTAGGACACACGGCACTAGGGATGGCCTGAGACTCGCCTTAAACCTCAGCTCCAACAGTACCTCAGCCATCTGAATCTGTCAGTATTTCCTTGGCTTAAATCTATTCCCAGGCTACCACCAACCAGGATTGTTCTGTTGGGTTTTGCCCGTTAGAGATGCGAAAATTTTCTGAACTGGTGTCTGCTGTTTGGGTGAGGATGGTTTTTCAGCCTTTGGGACCTGTGTTCCGTTCTCTTCCCTTGGGTGAGAGATGCTCCGATGGAATTGCCTAGGAATGTTTGCTTGTTTTAATCAAGTGTCATCGCGGTCGGGAAACAAAATCGGGATGTGAGTTTTTTTTTAGGATGCAGATTAAATGACTGATTAGTACTGTTTTAATTGTGATGCAAGTACACAGGTGAGCAGTGGTGTTAATATTGCCTTGTTTTATCCTCAATCCTTGTACTTGTTTTCTGTGTAGTGCGTTTTAAGTTCTCTTTATAGAAACACTTCTTGGAACAGCAACCAGGTTTGTAGGTAGAACCTAATTTTCTCTAATTTTATGCCAGTTACTGATTTGTACTGTTTTCTGTTTACATAAGCAGACTTCATAACAATGGGATCTCATATAAAATATGATTAGTATTGAGAGGAACCTGTTCTTTTTCCAGTAATTACATACTGGGGAATCTCTTTGTGAAGTAAAATGACCCGGGAGAAACTCACCATAAACCGTTAAGCATAGACCAGGGAGGTCTGTATTTATGTGCAGTAATTAAGAATATCTTATCAAGAACCAGTGTGCAAGTGCTTGTGCCAAGAGGTTTCAGCATAGCCAGTTGTAGGGACTCCCAGCTGATATTTTCCAGCTCCTGTTTAGACTCTGCGTGACTGTGAGTAAATAAATCACTCTTTGCCTCAGTGTTTCCATCTTTAAAATATTGATACTCCCCATGCCTTCAGGAGGCTGGGAGGATGTGCTGGTTAATATTGATGTGCTCTTTTGTAGGTCTGAAGTGCTCTGTTAAATAATTGAGGGGGAAGGCAGCCCTGGTTTTAGGCTTTTTCTCTGGGATGTTTGCATGCCCTTGACCCAGATTCATGGCCAATGGAACTTATTTATTTGTTTAAAAGATATTAAAAGCCATCAGTGCAATGCTGGCTGTATTGAAGTTAGTTTGCTGAAGAGCATGACCACTGGAAACGCCATTAGTGAGGAGAGGAAACTTAGGAGTAGGTGGATCTTGAAATAAAGATTGATGGCAAAAGCTGTGCTGCAGTCCCTGTAGCTGTAGAGGCAAAGGGGAGAAATCCCTGCCAGAATCTGCCACGGGAGGTCATTGCATCCCTGGTTGTCACTCGCTGGGCTGACTGCGAGAGGAGCATTAGGGCTTTAACAGTGAATGGCTGTGGAAAAGGTAAAGAAGGAAGAGGTCACTTCCTCTCTGGGCCAGAGCAAAAACATGAAACTGATGAATAAATACTCTACTGAATGGGATAAATCTTGCTCTGGGGAGGGAGGGGAATGAAGCAAACCCCCCTGGATTAAGTGAGCAACTAGAAAAGGCCGAGTTAATGGGAGGGGTTTGGTCACCAGAAGGTCTTCCGTGCAGCCACCAGCTGTTTGTGTGCTGTGAGTGAATATTAGCGCATGGATAACACTAATCCCAGGGTGTCTGAGCTGTGGCAGCCTTGAGCTCTGGGCTATCCGGCCCAGACACAGCCCTGAGCAGTGCTGGGAAGGAAAGCGCTGAGCAGTTCTACTGCGTGAGGCCCTGCACAGTACTGCATGTGCTAAATGGACCTGAACTGGGGATGCTGGTTGAAATCCGCTAGGGATCAGGAGTGTGGATTCCACACCAGGACTAAGCAGTGAAGGGCTTTATTTTCTCTTAGCTTGGTATAATGTAATGCTCAGAGCCCCAACTGGAGGCTGTGGTGTGCAGATGACTTTTGTTCTTGGGTCTAAGTTTTGGTCCATGGTATAGGGAACATGAGAGCAGTGTAAATAAGAATATGGTGCTTGGTAAGTGAGAGTGCAGGCTATATTACCTGTTCACTGGATTTCTGCTGACTGCTCTTCCCAATGTCCTGGGCAGGCTGGACATTCCATGTATGTATCTCCAGGATGTCAAGGTTGTACTGCTTGCACCACGGATGTTTGCTGGCTCACAGTACTGACCGACTTGGAAAAAGGCTGTTGGTTCCTGAGAGTTATTTACAAAGATGATGCCACTGCAGCTCTTTCAGAGGACATGTTGTGCTTTCTCCTGTCCTGCATATTGTGCTTCTCCCTGATTTCCTTCTGAGTTGTTGTGATTTGTCTTTTACTAACTGCTAAAACCATGATCTTGTACAAGTTATAACAGACGTGTTAAAGCCAGTGTTTAACTTGGATGCAGCTTCCTTGGGGATGTGGCTTCTACTCGGTTCCACTTGGGTGTGCTAGGTGTTCTAGTCCTCTTTTCCAAGCAGTTCTACTGAGTTAGCCCACCTGATTGCCGGGGCTCTTCTAACTGCTGCTGGTTTCAGCACTGTCCATGGATGTGCGCTGACAGTGTGCCCTTTTTGTCATAATTCCCCCCAGATTTGCCTCCTCTGTTTTGTTAAAACGATGGCTGCTGCTGCCTGCTGAGCCTCCCCTGCACCTGTGGCGTTGTCCTCGCTGTGGCTCGTGGCCTTTACCCCGACCCCTCAGCCCAGCACAGTTGGCCTCAGGTCATTGACTGGCTTGTTGGTCAGTCACCTGCGTGCTGTCCATGCTGCGCCTCGTGAGGAGAACGCCTGCGCTCACAGAAAGCAGGACCTGACTCCTTGGGTATCATCCCTGAGCTGCACCGCTGCTGCTCTCCTCAGGGCTTCCTGCAATGGTCCAGCAGAGTCGGGTAGGTGTTCCAGGTGTGCTGGTCCTTGCCAAAGTTTCTGTGTGTTGTGACACGGGAATATAGCTCAGTTTTGTGGAACTGAGCAGTTTTAGGTCTTGGAGAGTGAACTGAGGTTCCCTGAGGCTGAGGGCTCTCCTTTCCGCGGGTACTCTCCATTGTCAGCGTGCCTTGTGCTGTTGTGTGTGTAAGTGCTGAGATGCTGTGGCATGGTACACTCTAGAGGTGAATTCTTACTGTGCTTGCCAAATCTCATGGCTGTATCACCGCTTAAACTTGTGTGATACGTACTTGCTGTTCTTTAACTCATGTAAGTAAATGGCTTTTGATGAGATCTGTTAATGACTTGCAGTTAGCAAGTCTGCTGTGGTGGGGCTGATGGAATTTGTCTGTGCCAGAGCTGAGTCACTAGCTCTTCCCATCTAAAAAGTTCCTTTCCTCCGAAGGTTGCTCACCCATGATACACTCAAAGTGATAATGCATCTTGGTTTTATGTTTTATTGACGGTCTGCACTTGCCCATTGCTCTCAGATGAGGACACCTCCAGTGTGTGGTTGCACTGTTGGCTTTAAATACCGCTGTTAGCATTGCTTCTGGGATCGCCGGTACAATCCAGCTGGAAGCATATTGACGGGAGGTCAGAAGGCTTTGCTGCAAGGGTAGCAATTGTGTTTGCTTGTTGTGGAACACAGACTGAAGGTGCCCGGATCTTTCGAAGCCCTTCTGCGGAACCCTCCTTTTAGCTGCTTTGGTCAGGAATTTTCTGTGTCTCTGCATTTGTTGTGCTGCCTTTGAGGGTTTTTTGTTTGTCTGTTCTGCTTTGCTTGTCTCTGGTGCTGGAATATAACCCAGTTCTCCCTCCTCCTCTGTTGTGCCACTTCCCATGGGCTGAACCTTTGCATTTCGTTTCCCTACGCTGGCACATACGTTGGATGGGAACACCTGCACTGTGCTGTCACTTCATCTCCTCAGCTCCAAGCCTGGATATTTAGGCTGAAGTACTGGTTGTTCCCGTCCTGATCCTTGTCTCAGATAGCTGTAGTTGTTTTAGGTCTTGGAAGACATTTCTGCAGGGGATTAGATCTGTCCTATGACATTTCCTGCTGGCTGGAATAAGATATCCCTTGAATTATCTTTGCTTTCACTAGGAAGTACTTAAAGTCTTGAAATTCAATGTAGACACCAGAATTCTCAGCCTCTTACTGTAAGTACTGATTTTCACTTCTACTTCTTGGTTTCAGGAGGTTCGGTGATTTTTGTTTGGTTTTGGACAGTGCAACCCCCAAAACTTTTCAGTGCTCTCTGATCTGTTACCAGTTGGCAGATCACGGCACTGGTTAAAAAATGACTGTTATCACTGTATGTAGTTTGGTCTAAGTTTTTGTTATTGTCATGTTTGTTTCTTTGGTGGTTTTTTGTTTGTTTGTTTGTTTGTTTTAGGGGACTGTGGGCTGTTTGTAAAAATAGCTTTAATCTGAAATAATCCCCACACTGTTAGTATTTGGTAGTCCTTGGTTCCAGGGGTGATTGCTGCTGACAGTGTGAGGTCTTGGACAGGCTGCTGTTCCGAGCATGACTCATCCCTAGCACCTGTACTGCTGGTAGCAAGGTGTGCCTTGAGGTTTGTTCTGTGCTTTTAACCTTTTAATTGCTGTGGAAGTGGTTGGGCACGATGGAAGGAGCTAGAGGGAAGTTCTTGGTGGTTGTTTTTCAAAGGGAAGGGGGTTGAGATGGATGTTCAGGGAAATAGATTTCGATATGAGGCAGATGTTGGACAGGGAGATGCTCATATGGTAGAGCTGACTCTCTTCTTACTGATAGGGCTCTTACAGTTTTATTCATCTGGCAGGATATGAGAGAGAACGAGATGCCTTGGACTGAATCTTTGGCTCATATTCATTATTGAAGCTTCATTTCCAAAATAGCTCCATAGAAATCAAACCAAGGAACAGAGATCATAGAGACGGAGAGGCTTTGAGACCTTACAGAAAACAGCGCTGCTGTAATCCGGGGGGAGACTGAGGTATTTGTAGGCTAGCTTTGAAGCAGACTGTTGCTAAATGGAATCCATTAGGATCTCCGTGGCACGCACAATCCACCGGGAACCTTGGGAAATAAGGCTGGAGTGGCTTGTACACAGCGGCTGGGGCTAGAGTGGGGCTGTGCTCCGGCAGGGACACAAACACGGGTTCTGCCTCAGCAGCACTGTGTGCTGGGGACATCCCTGTCAAACGGCAGCATCTCATCAGTGCTTCTGCTCTGCACAGCC